CTCAGGCTTAGGGAGTTAGGGTGTGTGTGCTTTGGGGAGGGCATAAAGAACTAATGTACTAGCTTAACAGCCCGCTGATGCAATTTCCTAATGAACATTTTCAGTACCGGAACCATCCGTAGTTGGTGTAATTTAAAGGTGCAGGCTGCTTTGGACAAGAAACCTTAAGAGGATTAATATCTACAGACAGAAGCCTAGGGGTTAACGCTCATCCGTCGACCAAGACTGATATAAATTGAGTTGTAAAGGACTAAAATCACCTGGAAGGTGTAAAGTCATGGATCAGCTTAAAAGTGAGGATGTTGTAGAGCAGACAAGCAGACCAGGCCTCTATGAAGGCCTGTATCACCTCTGATAATGATGATGTCTGAATGGAAGGATGTGGTGAAACAGGCCAGGGCCATACTAATGATCAGCATTAACAAATTGATCAGTTTATCTATCTCTATTTCTCCCATTTAGCGGCATACTTATTATTATAATTAATTAATTTGAATTTCTGGATGTTGTTTAAGAATGATCAACACATAGTTAAGTCTAGACATGGCTATAAATCAAATTTCAGCATGTACTGTAGATACCTATTCAAAGGCCTATTTACACAAAAAATATTTCAATGGTATAAGTGGGCTTTTGAGTCGGTCACAGGAGGTTTTCACCAGGTACATTGATTCTATTATAGAAAACAATAAGATTGTGTCTGTGTGTGAGCATATGACTGATTCTGTTCAGTGTGGTTACGGTATATATATGTAGAAAAGTGAAGTGAGTCGCTGTTATACATAATACTGAATGTTTAATAGTTTTAAGTCTTTTTAATAAGCAATTATTTTTAAGGTTTCGATGAAAACCTTTAAAATAATTTCCCAGCCAAAACTGAAAGAGTAAACTAATAAGCAGATTACACACTTTTCAGGGTTTTCCTGGCCAAAACTAAGATTGTGGTCGGCTTATGATCCATTGGGAATAAATTTCCAAGATCCCAATCATGGCAAGTTACCTCAAGATTAATACCCAGTGTGATAAATCAAGCATAAAGTTAAAATGTAAAAAAAATAAAAACAATTTTTTTTTTAAATTAGTGGCATAGGTAATGAAAAATAAATAGAATAAAAAGGACTGGATGTACCTGAAGTAAAATGTTGACCAGTCATTGTCCTGATTCCTCCTGCACATTCATCATAAGAGCAGCTGTGAATTCTGGCAGTGATGGGGGTCTTCAAGTGATCTCTGTGAAAACAACAACTTTAACCTGGAAGTAAAATAATACATTAATTAGTAGAAGACAGAAACTTTATTAGATTAGAGCGCAAGCTTGAGTTAATATGAAGACAATATCCTATGAACAATTTTAACCTGAAAGTTACCATCATAAAAAGTACTGGTACCAAAAAAATTGATCACACACTTGGTGTAATCATTGCTTTTACACCAGCCATGTTTGCATGGGTGTTGCGACAAAAAATTCTTGGTTCTCAAAGGGAAAGTTGAATAGCTTTGTTTATTTAATCTATTAAATAGTTCAAGTCCAACAAAAATAGAGCCTATAAATATGCCTCATGGGATAAGAACCCCAGTTGAGTAGTTTTGCTAATTTTTACACAATATATCATTAAAATATTTGTGAGAGAGAATAATAATAACAACTAATAAGTATGCAGACAACTTTCTCAGTAACACCCAGCTCAAATAAACCATAATTGGATGCACAATGGTGAAAAGGACCACTCTGTCTGTAGCAACCTAAAAGTACCGCGAGGGCATGAAAAGGAGTAGATTTAGATCAGCAGCTACACTTATGCCGATAATCACAGCGCACATCCTTCTGGGCACAACAGTCATGTCAGATCAATGGAGAGCATATAATGCAATTGGCACCACTCTGGGATTGACTCATCAAACGTTCGTGCATTCTGTTAACTTTTTGGATCCGAACTCAGGTGCCAATTGCCAATACCCTAAGCATAAAACGTTCTTGGAAATCGGCAAAAGAGAGGAACAAGTGCCACAATGGCACACACAGAAATATGCTCAATTCATATATGTGTGAGATCATGTGGCGTCAACGTGTTAAAGTAAATGGTTTTTATGTCTTCAACGCCATTCTAGATGATATTGTTCAATTTTGGCCACTACAGTAGCGGAGGACCTCCAAAGAAGTAAAGTATGTTTTTATTCAAAATAACATTTTTTTTAAATTGGAAGTGTGAAGTGTTTTAATGGAAATGTGAAATAATGTTTAATTATTTTTTAAGTAAAATTTTTTTTAGGCTAATTCAGATGTGACGTCATTTGCGTGTTTATTAAAGTTGCAGTGAATAAGGGTTCAGGTTAGGTTAAGGGACACATTTAGGACATAAGTTTGTGGGTCACGATAACCAATATGGCGGCCACGGGCTGATCTCTCAGAATTTACCGCTTTTTATTCAAAAGAACATTTGTTTTATGGGAAGTGTGAATAATAATAATTTTTGCAGTGAATTAAATTTGAAGTATCCACTTCTGATACCGGGTCTGAATAGCCGCAGCCAAAGTAGGCACTATGATGAAAATTTCAAAACATTTTTAAAAATATAAAAATGCTACAGCTGTATAGAGCCTGGGGAATAGATTACAAAAACGCCAAATTCAACTTTCTAGCTCAAGTGGTTCAAAAGTTATGAATTTTACACCATTGTGCACCCAAAGGCACATTTTTTATCATGGGATTTTCCTCCATATTTTGTGACCCTCAATTTGCTTTTTTTGAACGCCTATAACTTTATTGTAAAATGAGACAAAAATATAATATTTACAGGGAACATAGTTAAATAAGAGTACTTCTAAATAAAGCCACAAAATATAAGTTAGTCTTTGTTAATATTCCGCAAGTGTTTTTTTTTTTAAATCTTGATTTTTTTTCCCTTTTAAAAATGTATAAAATATGCTGACTTGTCAATTATTTGAAATTAATTAATTTTGTTTAAATAATTTTTTTTAATTTCCCTAAAATCATGATAATAATAATATTCTTTAGATATAAATTTCAAATTTTCTGTGTAATTGCTTAACATTTATAAGGATAAACTGATAAGAAAGGGAACATTTGTTTAATTCAGTTAAAATTTACGATTACACTTTTTATTTTTACATTTCCTATACATGTATTTTTAGTCCCATATGATATGAATGTCTGAATATGTAAAAAAAAATAGTATGTCATTTTTTAACAAGTTAGTAATCTTGTTTCACAAATTAACATGCATTGATAGAATCAACTTTGGTGGTTGATACAAACTAAAATAAGTACTAGTCATTTGAGGTAAGCATAAGTTTTTATGATTGTTCTTTAATAATATCTTAAGTAGGCTAATTCTTGGACTATTGTAGTAGAAAATGTGTTTCCTCTTTGAGAATACCAAGGATTATGTAATAATTCGCTTGTGAAATATCGTGAAATAAAATGAGTAAAACAGAGTATGGTTAAACCTGAAAAATTTAACGCAACAAAACATCGAACGTGTCGGCAGAAAGCCTTCGTCAGCGAACAAAACAACAGAAAAAACGTTATAAAAATAAGAAATAGCACTTAGCTGGTAAGTAGTATCTGTGACTGTGGGTAGTATTGCTAATTTAATTACAATTACAGATTAACCGATGATAAGACAGTCAGTAGCCGATTAGCCGCCAAAAAAAAAAAAAAAAAAAAAAAAAAAAAAAAAAAAAGCAACTTTGATCTTGATTGATGTCATGTTAATGATTATAGAACTATATTTAAAATAGAGTTTAAAAATACCATAAAAGTATAAACATATTCTTACCTTCTACATGAAATTCTCGCTTTATGATATAATGGCTGTAAGAAATAAGATGGCGCAAAACAACAGGAAGTAACCGTCACGTGACCAATCGAAACACTATATAGTACCCGAATAGCCATTAGCGAACAAAACAACAGAAAAAACGTTATAAAAATAAGAAATAGCACTTAGCTGGTAAGTAGTATCTGTGACTGTGGGTAGTATTGCTAATTTAATTAAAATTACAGATTAACCGATGATAAGACAGTCAGTAGCCGATTAGCCGCCAAAAAAAAAAAAAGCAACTTTGATCTTGATTGATGTCATGTTAATGATTATAGAACTATATTTAAAATAGAGTTTAAAAATACCATAAAAGTATAAACATATTCTTACTTTCTACATGAAATTCTCGCTTTATGATATAATGGCTGTAAGAAATAAGATGGCGCAAAACAACAGGAAGTAACCGTCACGTGACCAATCGAAACACTATATAGTACCCGAATAGCCATTTGCGGGTACCTATAGCCAATCCGGGATCAATATTATAAGTTTTGAAGGGGGGAAAAACAAACAACTTTAAACTTGATCCCCTTTGTAAATAATATAATTTATAATTAAAATAAATATCCGTATTAAAAAATGCCATCTTGGGTTCTAGACAGATACGCTCGATTTTGCACAAAAGATCTAAAGAAGCATGGGGGTTGGAAGGTAACAGTTAACAGTTAATAAAATAAAGTAAAGCACATTTTATTTAATGGGAGTCGCTTAGTCAATTATTTTGTCACGTGATATGAGTAAAAACGAGTAAGATTTCCGGTATATTGTATACAACACACTAGTGCTTGACAACAGTAGCCCGATACACACTACAACTACACTACATTTCGTCCAATGAAAATTAACAATAAAATAAACAAAGGGGAATGACTCCTGCATCAATATTGAATAAAAACGCAAATGACGTCATGAGCACGCACGGAGCTCAACAACATCCTGCCGATAATAGTATTGATAGTTCCCATCGAATATCGCTCACAAATTTTTCTTGAAATAACTTTCTTCCTTTAATTATAACTGACGTATATTTATTGTCACATTTATGTATTTCATTTAAAAAACGCTTGCATTCCATAATATTACGAAAGCATTTTAAAAATTAATTGTAAACATTGGGGAAGCACTGATGAAGTATCTTTTGTTGTGTGTTGCAGCCTAGTGATGACTTACTCATATCACGTGACCAAACAAGGAAGTGACTAAGCGACTCCCATTAAATTTAAATGAACTTATGCCACGCAACTTTTCCGAAGTGAAAGTGAAAGTCTGAAACTGCCGAAAGTGATTAAGTTTTAGTTTTAAAGTTGAAGCTCTCAATTAATTATGATTTATTATCATTTTTTTTAAAACAGGCCAATCCGAAACGGCAACGTTATTTTACTCAGTCGAATTTAAACAGAATATGAATTTTAGACGCACTGAATTAACACCAGCAGAACTAAAACTAAGTATATATAAAAACGATGATGCACATGGATGATTCCTTCGAGAAGAGCCAAACAATTTTTTTAATCAAGTGCATCAAAATTCAAATTCTTGTCTCATATTTAATTTAACAACCTTTGCTTGTTGCTTGCTTACTTTAAATTGATCAAAACAATACAAACACATCTTTTACCCCTTTTTAAATTCCTTTGAACAAATCAACGATGAAAACAAGTACTATGATAATGCATCTTGTTCCCTTTTGATAACTTTTACTGATGATAATCAGCTGGTCATCACAGAAGGTACCAAAGTCTTGGTAAGTCATGTAAAAACTCAAATTGGTAGGCTATATATATATATGTAATTTAACTACTCTTCCTTGATACTAACTATTTTGACTAGTTTTGCACATAATTAACACCCAATAGTCAATATCAATAGGGTACCAAAGATGATGATTCATGATGGCTTTACTTTAAGTTGAAAACAAAGCAATTATGCTAGATATACCACTGGCCACAAGAGCAGCATTATAAAAGCTCATATGTGGCTCAAACTATAAAGTCATTAATGCAGGTCTGCCATTGCTGACTCATGATGATTTGAAGCTGGGTATAGGCCTACAGAATAACCAAATAAAACACATCAAAATAGGTAAGAAAAGGTTATAAAAAACTGCAAGAAGAAGCTGAATGAAAAGATTATCATCCCTTTGGCTAGCTTCTTGAAACATATTTTTGGGCACAAAGCTGTTTCCAGATCTTGCATCTTAACTAAAAAATAAATAAAATAAAAAAAATAAAAAATTTATTATGGAGATAATTAATTGTATTTAATTTAGTTTGTAGCAAAATTAAAATTATTGTCTCAAATGGGAGAATTTCTATGTTAATTTTTTTTTTTAGCAATGCTGTTTTTCATTCATGTAATAAGAAATACTTTTTATAATTAAGATCGGTACCATCAAAGTCTAAACGTTTGTTTCAAAAAATATTCTTCCCCTTTACCTACTTAGGAATGCCACTGTCTCAATTCTGCAAGATCATGGATGCGGGGATTGAGTCGCACTGACAGTCTTTTATTCTTGTACAAGATAAAGGTAAAAAAAAAACCTAACTGGTGGTATTAAAAAATTAGTTTTAATTATTTAAATCTAGAAATTACTTTCAGTGTCTAGAATGTCTGGTAAATATCACCTACTGCTTTGAAAATTATATTTTATTTTATTGTGAACTGTTTGGATTCCGTAGAGATACATTTTTTTTTAATTCACAGAAAACATTATTTGAACTAGAAATGAACTTGCTCCTATTTATTCCAAATGTTACTTATCTCTGCTTCATTGACATGATTAATTGCTATGTATATTTTATAATCTATACAACTCCCTGTTTGCTCCACTCTTATAAAAATGCCACTTTGAGATGTACCATCTATTTGAATTACTAGCACACCAGTAAATTAATTGAATGGACCCATGTAAGTGTAAGGGTAGTTACATATTGTTTGTATGTCTACATTGTCTTACATTTATTCCTTAGAATGAAACCAGAAGGTTCAGAGTTCGATTCTGCCAGCAAAACGATGCCAGTGGAATTAAGATTTGTGAAGATGTAATCAGGGTACTGTCAAGTTTTATTACAATAAAAATGAGTACAATGGAAAATAAACAAAATGTGGAAGATTCAGTCAAGAATAACAAAGAGGTATGCTATGAAAAAAATACAACGTAGGCCTGTTTTGTCTTAGTATTTACATGTTGGTGGTATGCATATAGTAAATTATATCTTAAGTTGAATTGTTTACTCAATATGTTAAAACAAGTCTGATACCTATGTCATATTACCGTTTTTTCAACTTAATTTTAAAAGAGTTCATTGGGCATGAATAATGCTGGAGCAACTAGTAATATAAATATCACTGGAGAAATTACAATTGGCGTCATGGCTAAGGTATGTATCGCAATAACTTAAAAATCAGCTGTGTTAAAAGTTTTACATATTTTAACAAATTGACAAACATGTGCCATAGAGTATGTATAGTAATTTTAATATCAACCTGATCCCTAAAAGTGTCATTTCAATAAAAACCAACAAAGAAAGCCATGTCTGTTCTAATTATTTTATATTATGATATGTCTTACACACATTAGCATTGCAAGGGTTAATTTAAATTATATCTTTAAGTATTCACAACTGAATAATGAACTAATATTTACATATGGTTTGGTCAAGATGATGCATGAAAAATTAAAAATTTTAACTATTAATATTTTTGATGTCAGATGGGTGTAACCAACATTAAAATGGGTTTTTGATGACATTATAATTATTAAATCTGACAGAATCAGTTTACCATGTAATAAGATTTTGTTTTTGAAAAAGATGTTTTCTTGTCACAGGCTGTCCTGAACAAACATCAACTTCCCCTTGCCTACTACCAATGCCAGCCTGATCCAGAAACCATTTCAGTATTCCTACGTACATGCTTGGCTGACCCCACATTCCCCAAATTTGTTGAAGCTGTTGAAGATGGCATTAAGGCATTAATTGAAGACTCTTCAGAGAAAGCCTAGCTGCTTTTGTTGTTTAATCTACTCTGTTAAATATTTCACTGTGGCAGACCTGAGAGGGGTAGGGATATCTGGACGTAAACAGTGACATGGTTAGGGCTATTTGAATCACATCCAACATTTTTTAAACTAGGGGAATGGGAAGATTGTAAAGACATATTTCCTAGATTAGGGAAAACTTATAGTGGAACTGTAACTATAACCTAAACTTCAACCTGCTGTGAAACACAATGGGCATTACATGAATATTTCCTAATACTGTATATTACTGAAATATTAAATGTAAGAAGTCACCATATGGTATTATATTTAGCTTAATTAATTTTAGAGTTGATTGTTATTCTATTTTACCTTTATTTATACTCTAACCTCTTTAAGCAGGCATTTGTTGACAATAGTTGTGCATTTATTGTCATTGTTTATGTAATGTTAGTGTTAATTAAAGGACATGCATCATTGGTTTTTTCTCATTAAGTATTAAGATTTAACTGTTGTACTAAACAGTTCATTTTAAAACAAATGTGTCAAAACAAAAGATATTGGAGGCAATCCATGCTCAAAGACCACCTGCCACCCTGGCCCAAGGCTGCAAGATTTGATTAAAATTACATTTTATTAAAGTTTCAAAAAATTCTAATATGGTTTGTATGATATATGAACAGTAATTTAATTTAGAAAATTATTTTGACATCCTGACTTTAAATATAATCTTTGTGCCGGCTGTTCAATAAAATAAAAATTTGGATGAATGACATAGCTCTATGTTGGCAAATTGTTTTCAATACCCCCCATTTTACAAACCTATTGCACAATATAGACACCCTCATTATACAGTCACACATTTGTGACCCTCTGCCCCTAGATGCGTCACTTCATTTTTGGATGGACCCTTACCATTTATAAATAGAAAGAATTCTTCTTCTGTTGAATAATACTATTATAGCCCACAGGATGGAAAACAGACATGTATTATAATCTTATAGTATTAATGACTTGCAAAGAAAAAAATTGAATAACAACATTAATGAGCTGCCCCTTTGTTCTAAATTATTTTAATAACTTTAGCATAATATGAATACATATTTGAATAAATGTTCAACAAATTCTAATCAGGGGAAATAAATGTTTATTATTTAGTATAAATAAATTTGATTTCATCCAAATATGTTTAAAGAAGCATCCATTACATTGCTTTTTTAAGTGAAGGAAAACAAACATGTTTAATTAAATATCAACAGCCACATATTTTTAATATAGTCTTTTGTGATAATTAAACTCATTCTAGTTTAATTAGTTCAAACATGCCATTTAAAACTAGACAGAGCCTCCGGCTCAAAGAAATTTTCTACATAAAACAATAATAACATTAAATTATGGAAAGTAATAAATGTATTGGCAAAGAAAAGATACTCAAAGGTAACTCCACCTTTACAATAACCTTCCCCTGTCTTGCTGCAGAATTAAGTAAAAGTTGTTTTAATTTATATGCAGGTATGAAAAGGTAAGAATACCTTGAAAAGGTGATTCATTTACTACTTCAAGAACATCATTCTTAAACCCTTTCAAAGAATGAAATACAGTACATCATGCATAATACAATAACTCAACAATATGAAGTATGTGTAAATTAAAGTGTTTGTTACTTTTCATTGTTAGTGTTTTTATCACCCATATGACTAACATAGCAGTATTCACATATCATTCAAGGAAACACACAAAAAACGTCTTCTTGAAAATAAAATTAGATCACAATCAGTTGCTAATTTTAAGGTCTATGATCAAGAAAAAAAATCATTTTCGCAAAACTATTTGACTGCTGTGAAATAGTTTAATCCTAAATGACTTTTCTGAGTTTTGCCCCTTTAAAAGATAAATACATGAAACATAATTTTTATGCAATGTAAACTGTTAAGGAGCAGTGTATTCCTATCAAAATAGTTACAAAGTCCAATTTAAATTTAAAAAATTCCATTAATAGAAAAATCATTCCTTTAAATTTTCTATTGTCTTTATCAAATGATCACATACAAAATAAAGGTTAGGGGTTTTCCATAACAGACGTCCGCACAAAAATGTATGTGATTTGTGATTTTAAATATTTCAAAAATAGATCAGTCAGAGGAATACCAATACCAGACAGTGGGCCCATAACAGCATATTAACACACAAAAAATGTACCATGCGGATATCCGCATGATCCCCCCCCCACCCCATAACTACTTTTGAATGAACCCTCTTTTCCACCACCTTGCGGAAGTCCTTTATGGATGACCACTTCATTGACTCCAAATGTTGCATGATCATTAAAAAAAAAAGTAATAATTTCATGCAGAAAGCATGCTTCAAGAAAAAGTTTCATTTTACACCTACTTAAATAAATGGACTAAAATTAGCATCATTTACGCAAGTGGACATTTTGATTGTAAGTAAACTCTAACTCTAAACAATCAAATGCACACACAATGATTTATAGTCATGGTTTCCAACCATTTTGTACTATATCAACTTTAAGTTAAATAATAATAGTATAAATAATTACTTCAAACTGAAGTTTTACAACATAAATAAAATGTAATTTAATTACTCTTTTCAATGGTTTTAATCAATGTATTTTAATTCCTGTTTTGTCCAGGCAGTGGCTTATATGTTGTTGGTAACTTTACTTTACTACATTTTTGGCAAATGAAAATGGGACTGATAACAGTAAATCTCTAGTCACACCTGATATTTTACCACACACCTGAAACGCACACAGCAGTCCCTTTTATTCGGAATAAAATTTCATCATGCTTATTTAATCTTTACACAGATCTCAGTATTGCATATTATCTTCACAAATAAGCACTAATAAAGGCTGGAATTGCAGAGATACAAAAATTCTTGCTTCGTAGATAAGAAAATTCTAATTTTCAACCCACTGTAATTGTAATCAAAGTCTTGTGGAAATATATTCCATAACTTCCAGAATAATTTACAAAAGCTTTGCCATCTGATATGGATTTCTGGATAGCCTTTACAAAAAAATATTACTAAAAAAAATCAGCTTCATAAATATTTTATAGTAGCTGTAGCACCAAGACTTTCTGTTGTGAGTATGCAGCAAATATCTGATATCTATAGGCATACAAAACAGCTTCATAATGTCTGCCCTAAAAGTCTGCCTTAATTAATAATGAGGTCAATACACTTTTTACACCCCAACATGAGAGAGGTGTATAGTATTAACACAAAAATTTAATTGATAGAGGTATTTAAAATCTAATTTTTAATTTACAATTTATGAATTATTAAAAAATATTATCATCCCCATTTTGGCCCCAAAATTCATTTTATTTTGAATTTTAAAAAAACCTTTTCCAAAGCATGTCCTTTTAATAAAGCATGCGCATAACTTTTGGTAAAATTGTTTTACAGAGTTATAAACTGATATTAAGTAAAATAGTTTCTGTTATCTAAGTTTTGGAATGACTAATTTTAATTCAATAAATAATCTTTATCAGTATCAGACTGCCGACCTATTCTATGGTTTAGTTGTCTATTTCTGCACCCTAGGAGAGTATCACAATTTAATTTCACTTAACAATTTTCTGAAAGAGAAAATAAGAGACTGGAGTTGCTGAAATCAAGAACAATATTCAATTAATGCCATCTGTATATAATCATGAAATAATTAAAATTATGCCTTCCAATTTTATTGCCACTAGTACTACTAGAATCATTGTCCAATTTTATTGAGCGATGTAAAATAACTGATTCGATACGCTGTTGCAAATGATGAAAGTAATCCAAAAATGTGATTATTTAAAAAGATCATTTTTTCTTTGTTGTAAAGGTCAAGGTAAAAACTTTTTCTCTCTAAAACTAAAAGCTCTCTTCAGTTCTTGATTTTCAAACTTGAAATTAGGCAGGAAAATTATGAAAATTCTCTGTGTCTAGTAATTTATACTTATGGAAACATTACTGTGTCCATAATTAATATACTATTTCAAAAGAATGCATTCAAATATTCCAGTAAGACATCTGTGCCCCTTAGAAGACTCAGATTTAAAAAATGATGCCCCGAAGGCTTCATAATTAATGCTTAATATTTACAAATATTTCTCAAAGATTCCTGACCTGACCCATATTTCATGTGTTTTCTTTGAAATGTTTTAGCAAAGTGCCTTGCAAATTGGATCAGGATCTGTGTTTATTCAGTGCATCGAGTAGGCATGGACTAGATTTGTTGTGATTTGTGCTATAACATGCTTAAAAAATAAACCAAAAAACCCCCCAGCTAAAGCTGTATTCTAATTAATACCCCCTTGATAAAAAGAAAAATCAACAACAAATAACTTGTAGCTCTCAGAACATTTACAAAATAAAGCTGGGCAGCATTACCACCTAACTGGGCTCCGATAGGGATAAACTACCACTTAAATGTCACAAACAACATATATTTACTTTTTTTAAAAAAATATGTACAGATTTAGTTTGTTAGTTAAATATATCACATATGTATGCCATGCTGATATTTCTGGTTAAATTTAAAAAAATAAAAATAACATTCTTTTAAACCCCATAGTTTTACATTACGATTTTAAAAGAAAGCTTTGATTTTCTTAGAAAGCAACACATTTTTAACAATTGTGCAGTTGCCATAACTAACATTAAACATGTTTTGTGTATGACTGTCTATTGGCAACAAATTATGGGACTTGGCTGCTTATTTTGTTCTGTCTCAAAGTCAAACACTGAGTCAAGGAATGTGAAAAGAGGAAAACATGCACACACACAATCCAGTGGTGTAACTATTACAAGGTTGGAGACACACATATATGGGAAGCCCCAACCTAGCAAGGGCATAACAAAGAAGGTAAAAAAACTAAACAAAATTAATAATCATCCTGAATAGTTAATTGCATTCATAAGATTAGATCAAATAACTTTAGCATAACGTAAAACTGCTCCAAATACATTAATAATGAAAGAACTATCCACTTTTCAAAAAAAAAAAAAATATTTAAAAAATCAACTTGAAAAAAATTATAGTATTATTATGCACTAAATTTGTTTTTAGAATAGGATAATCTAAATTCTGAAGTGCCATAGATATATAATGCCTTAAAATAGCATTATTTTCTTCTAACAACAAATAAACTTCAATTGCTCATACCACTCTTTAAATTATTTTGAAATAGACTAAAAATTTAGAAAGCCAATTTAAAATAATTAAAATTAGGAATTGTTAGACATTTTTTTTTTTTTTTTGTAAAATACAGTATTTACTTTTGATTAAAGCCTTGTAAACATAACATCTAAGAAACTATTTTGTATAGATCAATGGGCCAGATAAACTAGTTACATAACTTATCATATTGATAAAAATATGGATTACAAAAATAACAAACTTGTCCACAAAAAATTTATTAAACACAAAAACTTGTAAAACAAATAGATAACTCATACAATATAATCAAGAGCTACTGTAAAGATGATTTAAGCATATAGGTGTGAATGACTTAATACATATTTTTATAGATAATTTTAAGGTAATAGAACATTACATGTATATAGATTGGTCAAGTGCATCTTTATTATGTAAACATTTGAGAACTCAAATAATGAAGACATGATATAATTGTACAAAGGGTTGAAAACAATCCATTTTTTACTGGCTCTCAACATCTTTTTAAGACTATATGCATTAATTTTACTTATCACCCAGTGCGACGTTTCAAATGGTCATGATCGATTTTCGACTGTCGAGCTAACCACCCAGAATTTTTTTAAATAAATAAATTAAGATATTTTCATAAAAAATAAAGACAAAACAGTGGTTATGTATAGTTTCATTCCAAACGGGATGGACAGTCCAATGAGTTTACATTCTAACATATACCACCATTAATACTGTACTGAGCGGAGAATGCTGAGACATATTTACATACTCCAAGTAGCTGTAGCTCAAAACGCATTGCCCTGCCCTCAAAAGACAACAGTTATAGATGTTAAAGTATTTTTATTTTTTAGAGTAAGATTAAAATAAAACCCCTGAAACCCACTTTCTTGCTTAGCAGTAACATTGAAAAAAAATCTCAAGTACCAAAACAATTGTTCACCCCAAGTTAAGTCCAGTACAAAAACTCAAGCTTTTGTTTTCATAAACAAGATAGTAAAGGAGTTAGGTTACTGATCTTAATAATGAACACAGTTCATGACCAAATCTTAATATAGAACATGTCAATAATCTAATTAAAAAGAAAAGATTAATTTTTTTTAATTCACTTTAGAAAAACGAGATAAATCAGTTAATTAAAATCTATCATGACTTTGTGTTAAATCATTTTTAAAAAAAGAAACATAAATTAGATTGATTTTATTTACAGAGCAGTCTAAACTTTAATGAACATCTCTTTTTTTTGTTTACAATTGTTCAATTTCTATCAGTGCTTAAATTTATTTTCTATTATAATGAATGTATTACATGCACGAGCACCTGAGACATTTGTATAAAACATTTCAGGTTTTTGTCAGCTTCAACACAGCACCTTTCTTGTGATACACCACAGCCTCTTACAAATCTTCATCCCCTATGCCTTCAAATGCATCATTCTCTGTGATTGTCTCCTCTTTCGGCCCACCTCGACCCTGTTGAAAAATAAAAAACCCTTTATCAAATCAAGTGAAATTTTGTAAAACAGCTTGTCCCTAAAAAGAATATGTTTTAAAAGAATCCTGCCCTCTGACGTCCTTTGCCATATGGCCACCAAAGTGTAAATCATATGATATACGATGTCTATTCCCCAGTTACATTGCACAGTACATTCTTAGTAGGAAATCTCTTGTTTCCCATACTGCATACCTCATTTGGATACAAAAGTGTAGAATATCTGCACATAGTTATGCTTTTTATTTTTTTTACTGCATGCTCTTATAGTAATGCAAATAACAGCTATTTGGCTTAAATTCAGTTATTGTAGGCAAACTGAAAAATGCTATGAAATATTTGATTCACATAAATTTTTTTTTTTTTTTACACAGATGAATCTGATATTAGGTAAAATTATGTTATTGGTGAGCCTCACCTTTGTCTGCCTAAGAATCAGGCTCAGTTTAGAGTAACAGGTAATAAAGATCAGAATAGCAATTTTAAGTTTTAGTTAAAGATTGTTTCCCATTCAATTTAATTTTTAACCTTCATTGGTAAAGAAATAGAAAGCTAAAAAAAATAGTGTGATTTTATAAAATATATGAAAATTGAGAGGACAAAAATGAACAAAAAGTATGTGAACCACAAAACTTTTCGTTGAAAATTAATTTTTTAAATTAAATTGATTTTGTTTGAACATCTATCTAAATTCAATAGTAGATTTGATGTATAGATAGACATTGTTTTCCGTCTCCTCTCTGTTTCTGTTACTCTGAAATAATCATCCTATTCTGACTCAACAAAATGTTTAACTGCACATTAATTTATTTTGGTATAAGATGGCTGACTTTTACGCTGTGAAATACCTTAGATGTTTTCTGTTTAGATTGTAAAAATTTTTCTTGGTTAAAATATGTATTTATTTATGTGCTGAAAATGAATATGTACAATGTAATCAAAAAACATTTCCAATAATTTTGATCAATAAAAGAATTTTACCTCATCTAAATAATATATTTAGAATGAAAGGTTTATGTGTAGTATTTATTACAAAAAAACACCACATTACAATACTATGCAACTGGTTGTGACCAATTCCATCTTTGTTGGGATGAATATTTTAGAATACATTGCTTATGGAATGGAAAATACATAAACCATAAATATTTTAAAGTCAAATTGTTTTTGTTATAAGGCCATATTGATGTTTATCATCAAACATTATGAAATTTAATAATTTTAATGGTATGTACTAACCATCTTTTTGACAGAATCCATAGCTTTAGTAATTGCACTTTGGTCTTCGGGCTGTGAAATGGAAATAAAAATCATATAAATATAATTTAAAATTCTGTCTTTAAAAAACTGCTTGAAATTTAAAACAATATTTAATACTGCTAATATTTCAAATTAACAAGTAACTGCCAAGCTCTTCAAACAGATTAGTTTGCTTACAAATCAAAACCAAAAATATACAATAACATCATCCTGTCTAAATGAGAAGTTAAGTGTTTAATCTAAACAAATATCAATATTCTTATTTACTTTGTAATGAATTGAAATTTATTTTTTCGTTTTCCATAACCTTGTTATAAATTTATTTACTTTCAATACAGATATATTTACTTTTAGCAGACTTCTCTAAGCAATATAAAGAGCACTGTTATTTTTATCATTCAATACAAAAATGTTTGAATATTGTGACAGTAGTGACCTTAGTAGATGGTTATAGCTTATTAAAGTGTTTATTAAAGTGTTTATCGGCCTGTACTTGTGTAATTATGAATTGTAAAATGCTGTGAAGTGAGCAAGCTTTAGTGCACTAAATGTAGATAGAGAAAACTTTAGTTAACAAAATCTAGATAGAGAAAGCTTGAGTACACTAAATGTAGAGAGACAGCTTGAGTGTACTAAATGTGAATAGAGAGAACATGAGTGCACTAAATGCAGATAGAGAGAGCTTGAGTGGCTTAATTGCCATCAAGAAGTACAAATAAGACTCGTGGCATAGCTACACCTAAAAAACTAGTCTATAGAAGTTACAAGCAAGCAGCAATCCAAATCTTCACAGCCAAGCCCATGATTAATAGCCAAATTCAATTTGAACATACAATAATATCTTTAAATACTATAAAAAAGAATATTAACAGAAAGTGATTGAGTTTCAAGTACAGTCTACGAGTCAACTGGTACTTGAGAGAAATAATTAGTACCTTAATTTAAACAGTTATGAGTTAGCCTCTTTTTGTTTTCAAAATTAAAGTAATTTTTATGAATTGTAAAATGCTGTGAAGTGAGCAAGCTTTAGTGCACTAAATGTAGATAGAGAAAACTTTAGTTAACAAAATCTAGATAGAGAAAGCTTGAGTACACTAAATGTAGAGAGACAGCTTGAGTGTACTAAATGTGAATAGAGAGAACATGAGTGCACTAAATGCAGATAGAGAGAGCTTGAGTGGCTTAATTGCCATCAAGAAGTACAAATAAGACTCGTGGCATAGCTACACCTAAAAAACTAGTCTATAGAAGTTACAAGCAAGCAGCAATCCAAATCTTCACAGCCAAGCCCATGATTAATAGCCAAATTCAATTTGAACATACAATAATATCTTTAAATACTATAAAAAAGAATATTAACAGAAAGTGATTGAGTTTCAAGTACAGTCTACGAGTCAACTGGTACTTGAGAGAAATAATTAGTACCTTAATTTAAACAGTTATGAGTTAGCCTCTTTTTGTTTTCAAAATTAAAGTAATTTTTTAAATATTGAAATAGTAAAAAAAAAATGAATAAGACTAAATCGACTATAGAAATGCATTATATTATATGCTTCATTTCAGTGTGAATTGCCCTCGAGTATTCTATCCAAAAAAGACACTGCAAATCTAGATATAACCACACCTACTTCCATGATGAATCTTTCATTATGAAGACACACACATCCCCATTTAAATACAAGAGGTTTCAAATAAATATTATATAAAATTTTAAAATTCATTTATTTTATATTCAACAAGTTAAATTTTTAAATAAAAAATAATTAATTTGTTACTCTTTGAATAAACCCATGTAACACAAAAAAAATAAATTTAAAAAAAGCATTAATCACACAAACTTTGCTTCTATGTGGTGTCATATTTATGCTAGTTTTTGTGTAGCTTCACACTATGGTACGGAAAAATAATCAAAGAGATGCAATTTTTTGGGGTCAAGAAATGCTATGAAATAATCAACACTTGTGATTATTTTTTTCTCTGTTATCTGAAATAAATGTTGACTGTCTTATCTCAAGGCTTAATTCTTTTTACAATCACACCATGTTGCATTGAAGGGTCAGATATTTACTCTGTGGTTACTACATGTGAAAGCTATATACACACAGTGCATTACATATATTAGGACATGCTCTATGTCAGTCTTTTCTACAAACTAAATTTTTCTTACATTCATAATAGATATTGTTTACTTTTTCAGAAAAATATTATCTTTTATTCTTTACTTTAATAGATACATGACACCGGCAACTAATTTGACAATTCCTTTCCTTAAAATGATATTTGAAATTCACAGCGTTCTTTTGCTGTTTTTTTGTGTGTGTGATACTCAATAAATAAAAAAGAAACAGCTATTTTAACTTTCTTAACTGAAGTCAATTGGACCAGAATAATTAAAGAATTTGAAACCAAAAGAAAAAAATAATAAAAACAATGTAAAAAGAAAAAAAAAGTGTTTGTTCATAAAAATCATACAGATGAAAAACAGCTTCGACTAAAATTTTTCTAGAAAGTAAAAATAAATAAAAATAACTTGAACAAATATTACCGCAGTGAAATTTTCTTTAGTTGGAGATTTCTGAATGAAATGACGGAGTCGTGTTATGGACTACCAACTTTGTAACTCACAGTTCAAAACAAATGAATAACCAATACAAGTTGCGACGCCATACACTCTTACTCTAAAGTATGCACCACAATGAAATGGTGAAACCAGCATTCCATAAAACAAGAGAGATTAGCTAGACCAATTGTCTTAAATTCTTCATAAAAATCAAACGGCATCAATGAAACAGCTTCCTTCATAATGGTGTAATGCAAGGTGAGGTGGGGGGTGATTTGTAATTTGTATATAAAATTAAATGAAATCATTTTACAAGAGCTGAAAAAAAGCAAAAAAAAGCTCAGTTTCATGTAAACCAGAAATGTGAAACATGAAGAAGAACATTAAAAAAACTAGATTTCCAGATTTTTTTTGAATGTTCAAATGTTCCACTAAAATTCTTAAAACACATGCAAAGTAACTTTTCGGCGTTTACATAAAATAAACAACAACATACATCTATGTTTCAATAAAGCAGCCAATAATACTCTAATTTTGGCCTGCACAACATAAGGCCCGCCTGGACCGACTTTGCAAAGTAACGAAATTTTCTTTATTCTTATTATTTTCTTTATAGCCCCCCCCCCCCCGCCACCCCCCCCCAGTATTATTTTCTTTTGGCTGTAAGAAATGGCCTCAGTCCTTTTAGGTATTTTGATTTACTCCACACACTCCAAATAATAACAATTATAAAATACAAAAAAATTATTGTGAATGTAACAGAGGTACTATACTTCAAAATAAATAAAAATCTTACATCAAACCCATAAGAAAGCTCCCTTGACAAGGGCTTAAATGGTCCAGTAATTTTATTGACCCTGAGTCTGTCCTGAGGCTGCAAAACATAGTTAAAAATAAAATTTGTAAGTTTTAATAATATTTTAAGTGCATCTATTTCCAAAAATTTTTTTAAATGTTAGCTTCTTAAAATTATTTAAAAACACATGCAAGAATTATGTTTAAGCTCACTGTACCTTTTTAAATCGCTTCCCTTGCTTCTTCATGATTAACTCATCGACCATATTCTGTAGGCACATGCTGATCAACATAGCCTAAGAATGGAGACACCAAAACTTAAACGTAAACTATTTTGTTCTTTCTTGTTATATTGGCAGTGGTGACTTTTCCACTTTTTAGGCAAAGATATAACATGTTTATTTAAAAAAAAAAAAAGCTAATAAATAAATTATTCAAAAAATTGTTCAAGTTTGATAATTGATGTTGCAGCCTTCAGTTTGAAATCAGTGATTTAGAAGCGTGGCGGTTATTATTTCTAAAGACTGAATGTTTAAAAATCAATAACAACAAAAATTCAAACAACATTACTACCTGATCACTTATGATAGAAATCCACTGCAAAGTGTCCTTAGACATCAGGTATTCAAATGACAATTCCAGCTGAGACTTTGGATTTGTAGAGGAGGACTTCTCATTTGTAGAGGAGGAGTTCTCATTTGTGTTGGAATTCTGAAATGATGTTTTTAAAGGGTTAAAAAAAAAAGTTCAAATCAATTTAACAATTAATTTCTTATACACTAATTATACAATCTAATAGTGTTAAATCTTATTATACTATTTTTATAAGCAACCACAGCATCCATTGGTATGAGAAATTCATGCATTTTAATTAAAAAGTATTACTAAAAACGCAACAACTCAGGACATTTTATAAGGTTTGTTCTTCATCGGAAACTCAACTCATTTGTCTAACTGAAAAATGGTGAAGATCTCATTATCATTTCATATGTCACTGCAAAATTATTATTATATTCAAACATCTCATCAACAAAGACATTTAAATGTTTTCATTAAAATCTCAACATAATTTTTGTAAGTCCCATTGAACGCTTTAAAATGGTATGGGTGCTTATTGGAGGAGTTTTTACATAGGCAAAAGTATTTCAAAGAATATATTGTATGGGCACAAAGACACGTCTGCAAGTATTTTCCTCAAATCATTGTTGTCAGCATATCTGTCTTTCTTCTTCTCATGCCTTTTATCCCATCTGGGGCATAGGCTGTCCACAAGAATTTTCCATACATCACAGTCCTGTGCTTTCCTTTTCAGTTGCTTCCAGGTGTATCCCATATTTTGCGTGTCTGTCCCGTATCCTTAGAAAGGAGGGTCTTCAGCTTTGAAGTTTCCATATAGCCTGGGTTTGGCCACAAGGCTTCATAGCTCTTCTTGGAGAAGAAGAGCCCTCTCTTCTCAGAGAAAAAGAGCCCTCTCTTCTCAGGGCTGAAATTTGTTGGTTTTTTCTTGTTGACGTTTCTGTAGCAGTTTGTTTTTACGGGTGAGGTAGCCGGCCTCATGCCAACCCTCCTCCTTTTGCACCCGGGCTTGGGACTTGGGACTGGCATGACTGTGATTGTGTGTAAATGTCTGAACAGATTTTAAACAGATTCATTACAAAATTTTTGTTTTGTTTTCCTCAGCTTTATCAAATCGACTGAATTAAAATGATGAAGAGCAGGTAATTTTTTAAAATACATTTTCACATTTGAACATTCACTTTCTCTTCTTCTGAGACATTTTTCCTTTCTTTAAAAAAAACAAAAAAAAAAACAACAACAACAACTTACGATAGTTGTGATTCTCCAGCAACGCATTCGTGTTATTTTAAAACTGCCTTCTTTCACTTGACCCTGCAGAAAAAAAACAAATACAACATTAATGATAAAACATCAGTAATGTTGTTAATACTGTATTAATTTTTTAAATTGTTATTTCCTTTTAACAAAAACTGTGGATGCTGGCATCAGAGGCCATAAATATCTTCTTTAAATGATAGCTGAAATTTTGAATAAATACTTGGTCGAAAAAACATTTTATATGTCAAAATGGACTAGACTAGTATTTCTCTTCAACTCAAAGCTAATAATTTTTTTTTCTCCTGCAAAATGCATCAACATCTTTTAAATTGTTAAGAAAAATACGGGGAGAACTGCATTTGAGCTAAACAGGTTACTTCTTAGATTTCATGAATGTGACCAAAAGGAGCAGACATAAAAATTTTCATTTAGACACGCTGACTACTTAGAAACCCCCTCCCACTTTCAAGGTAAGGACGAGTTATTGCCCCTGATCACTGTCAACATCATGTGAAAAGTCAATGAACTGTTAAGTAACCAAGGACTGAACCAAGAAAAGGGTCAAGAAGCGATCCAAGAGAATAGTCTAGACAATGTCTCGTTTTGGGTGAGCGATTATGTCACGCATCAAATTATTAAGATCATTGGACTCAGATATCACATGGTAGTGATTGTCCAATAAGCAAATAGAATAGAATCACTATAAAAGCCGTTGCATAACTAAAATCTGTCTTTTCGTGATCGACTCTTAAGACAGCAGCTAATTTAGTGCACCGTAAAGCCGGCTTTTTCTAGACCTAGTGAGTTGTACGAACATTTCAATTTCATTTCTTTATTTGAATATTTGTATTACCATGTGCATAGTTAACTATTTAATGTTGAATGTATGTATTATCATTCTGATTAGAATGAATTTCTGATCGGAATGAATTTAATTAATTCATTTGTAATTTATATTTTCTCCATGTTTGACACGTGCCTGTATCATAGGACACGTGTCGGCCATTTTGAGTTTTGATTATCTAGACTTCATCCCATCATATGGATGGTGATGTGGCCACTGGATAGTTATTAGCCATTATGTTATCCATTACAGTTGATTGAATATATCATATTAATCCATCCTGTATATTATTAAGTTATTGTATAATTATGTATGAAAAGATTCATTGCCATGTGTTGAAGCTAGTCATCCATGCTTGCGCCGACAATGGTGAAGATGAATAAGGCTATCCAGAATGGATATTAACATTGTAAAAATTATATCTCCTTTATCGCCTCGATCTGAATTCATTGCCGTTGGAGAGGGATTTGTTATCTCAAGAATATTGGAAAAGTTGTTCCCTTCTTTTCTTTTATCATCATTCACATATAGCCTGGTTGCTAGATCGCTGTACTATTGCAGTACAGTCAACCGCACCTTAGCAGCTGAATTGAGGAATCGGTGTACTGAGCCCTGAGTCTACGAACCCCACCCAGGAGCCACCTCCGGAAGACCAATTCATCGCCTGCAACCAAAGTACTGCATGCTGATGGACTTTACTCCCAAAGAGAAGTCTTACATACACCCACCACAGCGAACTGGGGAAGAGGTATCCCAGAAGGTACAGTTGTGACTGGTATCATCCACCTGCGTGAACGCCCTGAAAAATGCTGAGCCCTGAAAAGCCACGAGGTACATTGGATGAAGAGTCCACTTCCACAGTGAATGGATCTCTGTATTTTACTGCCGTAAAATCTATCTGCGTGAACGCCCTGAAAAGCGCTGAGCCCTGAAAAGCCATGAGGTAAAGAATTAAAGAATTCACTTCCACCCTTGAAGTAATTCTATAACATCGCATTGCTGTTTCCTCCCCTTGCGTGAACGCCCCAAGAAGGACCCGAGAATCCACTTCTACGTTGAAGTGATCTCACTATTGTACATGATCTAACCAGATCATAAGAGCCGCTTCATAACCTGCCGCTCTTTCAGCCCACTCACGTGAACGCCCTGAGAAGCGCTGAGCCCTGAAAAGCCACGGATTGAAGAATCGGAGAAGCCACCTCCACATACTACTAGTGACTGATCAAGTCAGATGTTCAAGACAGATGATCAGCACAAATGACTGATAAGTTAAGTGTGAACGGACTGAGTTTATACAATTGAGATACAAAGCAAAGCAACCTTTACAGGCTATTCAGGAGGCCATTGTTCATAATAGACTAGAGCTTAGATATATTCCACATGAAAGTTGTTTTGAATATGATCCTTTATTATGCCATATCCATGTAAATAAATAACTCATTTCATTTACTAAATGGTGTTATAAAGTATTTGGTAGTTGAGGCAAAAATGAGTAATGTAGTTACAACCCTTGGTGTGCGAAATCGACATAACCAAATACCTCTAGACACCAACAGGTGTGACAATCATCACAGAGTTGTTTCAACACCCCTTAACATAAAAGTCATTTCACCACAATGGGTAAATTCCGAAATTGAAAATGTCTATCATTTTCTGTCAGCTACATAACTTTACAACAAGCTCAGAGTGTTTCTTTTTGTCGAAGGCTTTTTGTCAGCAATGTTCACTTTGTTGTTCACTTTGTTGTTCACTTTGTTGTTCACTTTGTTGTTCACTTTGTTGTTCACTTTGTTGTTCACTTTGTTGTTCACTTTGTTGTTCACTTTGTTGTTCACTTTGTTGTTCACTTTGTTGTTCACTTTGTTGTTCTCTTTCAAGTTTTCCTTTACCCTTTGTATGCTTTAAAATTGTTGCAGCATTCGCAAGGCGAATTTCAATTTTTTGGCAGATAAGATTGCCTTTAACTCTCTTTATTTGTTAAATATTACTTAGTCAATGTTAGTCCATGATCAAAGAAACTTGAGCATTTTCCATAAAGATTTTAAAATTGGTAATAACGTTAAGGTCAAAGGGTCCATCATGAAAAATAATAAGTGCAAGAAGCCCCAAAAATGTAAAAAATGTATCATTCCTGAATGATACAGGCAACAGTTCTCTTGAAATTACCTGGTTTATCTCAGCACGATCTGCGAGTGGCATATTTCCCAATGCGCAAACGATTACTAGGGTCACAATTAAAAATAAATAAAGCATACATTTGTTTAATCCAGAATACTGTTTGCCCTTCACATCCCAAGATGCCCACGGCTTTGACTTGAGTAGTAGACTTGACTTGAGTAGTAGACTTGACTTGAGCTGTATTTTGTTTAAAGGGAGGAAGAGTTGTTCAATTCGTCCGCCTCACTCTCTTGTCCTTGCCTACTTTTTCCAATGGCAAATACTTAGTCAAGACGACTGGAAATTAGTCCAGGATGCAGCGGATGACCAGAAATATGCGCGTTTCTCACTGTGCTCTTGTGCGTTCCTCATTGCAGGAGTTGTCAGAATTTTCATTGTGTCAACCATATACCCCCTATGGGATTCCATCTCTGGGTTCCATTTCAGAGTTAGCCTTTTCTTAGATGACTCGCCATCCAAAGTTAACAAGTGCCATCCACTGCTGGTTGTTTTATTTTGCTTGTCCAGGCTGGGGATTGGACTCCTGTCCACAAGATTGGGATTAGACTCCTGTCCACAAGATTGGGATTGGACTCCTGTCCACAAGATTGGGATTAGACTCCTGTCCACAAGATTGGGATTGGACTCCTGTCCACAAGCTTGGGATTGGACTCCTGTCCACAAGATTGGGATTGGACTCCTGTCCACAAGATTGGGATTGGACTCCTGTCCACAAGCTTGGGATTGGACTCCTGTCCACAAGATTGGGATTGGACTCCTGTCCACAAGATTGGGATTAGACTCCTGTCCACAAGATTGGGATTGGACTCCTGTCCACAAGCTTGGGATTGGACTCCTGTCCACAAGATTGGGATTGGACTCCTGTCCACAAGATTGGGATTGGACTCCTGTCCACAAGCTTGGGATTGGACTCCTGTCCACAAGATTGGGATTGGACTCCTGTCCACAAGGGGATTGGACTCCTGTCCACAAGATTGGGATTGGACTCCTGTCCACAAGATTGGGATTGGACTCCTGTCCACAAGCTTGGGATTGGACTCCTGTCCACAAGATTGGGATTGGACTCCTGTCCACAAGCTTGGGATTGGACTCCTTTCCACAAGCTTGGGATTGGACTCCTGTCCACAAGCTTGGGATTGGACTCCTGACCACAAGCTTGGAATTGGACTCCTGTCCACAAGCTTGGGATTGGACTCAGTTTAAACAGCTCAGCCATCCAGCATCCAGTGATATCCAGAGTAAGTTGAAGTGAACCCCAAAAGAATAAACTGATGTCCACTTACCTCAACTTGAACCCTAAAATTGAGCTCCTTCTGTCCAGCAGAAATGATGACTCTTGTGTTTTGTTGAGGGTAGTCTGTCAAACAGGGTTTAAACTGCATATAGCCATAGTACTTTAGAGTACGGGCTAGACGGAGAAACTGTAAAAACGAGAAATAGTACAATGTTGTTCTCTTGTGCATATAAATTACGATGTGGTGTACATCTATATAAAAAAAACCCATTGCCAACATAAAGTATATGTTTGTATACATTTCCTTCCGTTTGTTGTAGATTCTTATTTTTATTGCACTTGTAATAAGCAAAAATACTTTGCCATGACTTATCATCTGATATCTTGCCCTGGCTTACAGAGTGAAGTTGCCACAAGTTTTATCTAATTTAAATCAATTCAACAAAAATGATCCATCATCAATTTTACCCACCTCTCGCTTGGATCCTTTTTTTCTCAAGTTGACCAAGTGGTTAAGTTGTTCTTTAGTGGCAAGTATCCACTGTCTCTCAATATCACTGTTGGCTTGGACATACAACAGGTTCATTGTAACTTTGTTCTCCAGTAAGTCATCATCATAAGATGTGTCCCAGTACCTAGAGCAACACAGAAATACTTAAGCACGACTACGATGGACATGTTTTGCATTGATAGTAGGGAGGAAAAAAAAACGACTAGAAAATAAACACACACCACAGTTGAGAATGCCTGTAAAAACAGTATAACCCGGTCGCCCATTGTATTAACTCGCAATTTCCAAATCTTTTTCCAGCTGAAATGAACAAGCTGGGTTTAAGGCTAATTTTTACCACATACCAAGATGGCTGCCATCTTCATACCTCAGTGTTTAAGTTTAAACTTAATAAACTGTTGTTATGGCGTGAGGACTCTTTTCATTTCATACCACATTTAATATTAGTATCAATTGTAAAAATAATAAAGTCAAGAGCCTTCAAACAGCAGCCTATTTTGATGCTAATATAAATTTTAGCATGCCTATTTCTTTTCAGTGTTCAATGTTCCACTTAAGCATGTACACTAAGATTATGGCTATCCATCTTGGAGTATGTTATGACTGTTCATGATTAAGAAAAAAAAGACATAAGTAAGCGGCATCAATAAAATAACATAGGGCAGAGTATATGCCATTGGCCGCAAATAATATAAGTTGGGGTATTCTATACCATTGGCCACTAATATTAAATAATGTTCCCGTTGGATCCCGCATTGACCAGTCCCTTCACTCCCATGTCGTAACCTATGTGAAACCAAGAAAGACAAACCCTTTCCGGAGCACTATTCTGTGGACAACAGTTTTGTTAGCCGCCTTGAGAGACAAATACGGGGACTCAAACTCTTGAAGCCTTCGTACAACTGAAACGGCAAAAAAGATGGCGATGAAACCTGATATGGAAACTACACTCAATTTCAAGGTGAAGATTAATTAATGAACGTTTCTTTTCTTGTTTTCAAGGATTCCATTACTTGGTGTGGCAGGAAAGCATTCTGATGGCTGGATGACAGTAAGTTTGGGATTACCACACCAAAGATAGTACAAAAGAAAACAGCTGATGAATATTCCCTTTTCTTTTTCAATATTCCATTTACTTTCTTTAGTCAATTTCTGAACTAATGGATTTAATTAGAAATTCACTTACTTGAATTATCTCCATCGTCTTCCTTCTTTACCAAGAAGAGACTGAAGTAATATACAAAATCATCAGGAATTTCGATTTGTTGAGCAACTTTCTGTTTCAAAAAGAGATTTGATAAAATTATAATCTGAAGTATGGTAGTCATGCTCTCTTAATGAACATCATCTGTTTACTTAAAATGACATACTTAGTAACAAGTTATGCATAGAGGACTATTTCACCAAGTACTAGAAGCAGATATAGCTTATATCTTTAAAGCTGAGTAATGTTTTTGAAAAGAATTTGAAAAATATATAACCTTAAAACAAATCCAACCCATCGCACAATTCAGGTACAATCTAGTTAAATATTGTCCACGCAGTGACCAGACTGAGCTATATATATATCAGAAAACATGCCTCCAAATAAAAAGTGACCTCAGGTTTCATTTTATGCGCCAGTATTCTATTTTTGGAAACCATATTTTTTTTTCACCAAAAATAAACCTCCAGCCCTCATTTTTGTTTGTTTGTACATCAAGCAGCTTACTTAGAGTATTGTACCGGTATGTTATGGTTAAGGCACTGTACAATAAAGCACCATATGTGTACAACAAAAGGTAAGAAAGAACGGTATTCTAAGCACTAAGTTCTTTAAAGCAACCTATTCCGTAGGAGTTTTCAGATGTCAGAAAATTAAGTTATCTAAAGCACACCCCAGGTCCAATTTGTAAAAAAAAATTGACATTCAATTGTTTAAAAAGTTCTAGTGAAAAATTTTTTTCAAGAAGTTAATTACTACATCTCTAACTCAGCACTAATCCAGAAGTTTAGGGGAAACAAAGTGAAAAAAAGAAATGAAACTAACCTCCAAAACATCTTCTGTTTGATCAGTGGACATAAGGCTAATGGTGATTTTGTGACCATTCATGAGGAATGCATCAAGTGTTACCTGCTCAGCTTCTTCCACCTGGGATTCCTGATATTATGCAGAAAAAAAACAAAACATGTGACATAAAAAGCACAAACAAATTGATTTAAATGGCTATATCCCAAAACTGGCTTTGCAGCTGCATAAAATAAACTCCTAATACCAATGACATTGCTGAAATGGTGTAAACTGTTTGATATCACTGTCACAGAACGGTTGTTGCGGAGGAGGGCTCTGGTCCTGACATATAACAAACTATATTATTATAGTATTGGTTAATATAGGACCGCTCCTCTCTGTGATTATAGTGTGGGTGTCAAGGCGTTGGGACAGACAGAAGCACAACGTAAAAACTCCAACTCCAGGTGTATGTTTTATATATATGTATTCATTTCTTGATGTAACAACAATTAAATCTAAATCTATCGAAGAAAATATAACCTTTTCAAAAGCATCTAATATCCTCTCTCTCTCTCCCCACCGCTCATTCAATATCCAGCTAACGTGGTGCGGCCCATGGGGAAAACCCAAACAAAACAGCATCATTACGCACTGATAACTACTAAGCTCTGTCCTATACCCCCACCCGAGTCATTTGTGACAATCACTACACACAATTTGATCCTTCCTCATCAGCAAAAACTTGATTTTACAAAAACTGTAAAAGTTAATTTAGGTTTCTATTTTTTGTGGGAGAGGGTGGAATGATTGAAAACCAATTTTCTTAATTTTTGACTAGTAAATTTTATATCATTTCAGAGATAAATCACCATTTTAAGGCTTAAAATGAATTTGTTTACATACAAAAATGATAAATCTCTCTAAAAAAGATTTAATTACTGGAAATTTTCTATTAGTTTATTTGACCTGTGGCATTTATGTGAAATTTTTTCTACATTCAATAAAATAATCTTTACAATTTATCGACCAGGTAATTGGATAGTAGAATAGTAAATATGCAGCATTTTATCACCATTTCTTTAAATAAGACCTCAGCTATTTTAAAAATGCTATTAATTATAATACATATATTGCAACAGTATTAGACACTGTTTAGGTCTAATAAAAGGCTGTTGGTTTAGATTGATCAATGTTTCATATGTTCAGAATATAACTTATTCAAGAACATCACTAGGTACTAAGATCAGCTCCTGGCTGTAATAAATATATAGATACTGATATGATCCTTAACTGATGTAAGCAGTGGTAGTATCTTATCTCACTCTTACTGTCTCAGATAAGTTATTATTTTTATTCTCTGTTGTTCTTTGTTCCCCTTCTTTTTTTGGCTTCAAAGGCTTTCCAGTGAAACATACATCGTTTAGTTTTTTTTGTCTGTAGGCTTTTACCTACCATGTGTGTTGTATTTCTTAATTGCTTCAACCTGAATGCAGCCCTCCCTCATATTACATTTGTGTTATTTCACAAAGAATTACCTGCTGAGCTGTAAGTAGAAATGAATTAAACAAAGGGCTGCTGCCAATCTGTGGATCTTGACTCACTGATAAAAGAAAAGAAATTGAACATGGAAGAAATGATTTTTTTTTTACAAGACATTTATTAATAATTCATATGAAATGTTTGTTGGATCACAGTTATTTAAATTGATAAAAGCAAACACATAGTTAAAGATGTTTAATAAAAATGAATTTTGAAAAAAGCTTTAGAATAGAGAATTTCAAAGTCAAGAAAATAATAAAGGCCATAATAAAATGAATAGGCCAATGGTTAAGTTTCTTATAAAAATTTTTTTTACAGCTTATCATTTCACTCATCATTAGTAGAGGCTTTTTGCCAAGACATTGTTTTTTTATTAGGTTTTTTAAATTTTCACTTACTGTCTTTTTTCTTATTTCTTTATTAATAATAATTATGATCAGCACTTTTAAAAGATTCTCACAAGTTGAAAACTACCTTTCAAAATTTATGCTAAGTCTGCTCTCACGCAATATAGGTTTGAGATAAGTATATCTCAATATTCACATTTATTCCTTTTTGATGGCACTACAAAAGCATGTTTTAATAGATGTTTAACTTTAAAAATTAAAATAATGACAAACTATAAATATATCTCACCAAGTTGTATATAACGTTCTAACGTCACTCTCCTCTGTTCTATCTCCACCGGAGACAATGCTAATAGTTTCTTTTTTGGAAATTCTGGCAGGACTAAAGATCCAAACTCTTTTCTCAACTGATGCGTAAATTCAATAAATTAATTTGGGGCAAAATATTTGGAATATGACGTATTTTATGAACATTGATAATATATGTAATATGATATAAATAAAAAACCATGAGATTTTGTCAAAAACATTAAGTATAAACTAATGCTTATATACAGTGGTGGAATTTTAGCCAGTCAACACTGCTTCTTAAAGTTTGAAGTTTGCCCAACTGGTTATTTCTTAATCAAAGAAACCTGAGTTTAGTTTAACAAAATCCTTTCACTAATAAAATTAAAAAAAACTGAAGCAAAAATTGAAAACAGGACAATATTTTAGAATAAACAAACTGGCCTTAAAAAGAAAACTTACTAAACATTATTAAACATTTCAGTGATAATTTATTAGTTAGACTTTTCGCTTGAAGTAAATTATGAAATAGTAGAGGATTGTGACAAATAGTATCTGCCATCACTAAAAAATGGAATTCAAAAGCTCGATTTATTTATGCCAAATATAAAGAATTATTTTCATATGAAACCTGAATTAATGTAAAACTATGATTCAATTAATTTACATACCTCATCATGAAATTGTCTCAACTGCTTGTACCTCGCTTTACAGTGAAACACACCATTGATATAAATGTTGTAAATCTAAAATATTAAAATGTTTAAATATTAACATAGTTTAAAATTGTTTTCTGAAATTGTCAAGTTTAAAAATAAAACTAAAGATATATCACATCTTCAAATTTGGTTATTAAAAATATAAAGCATAGGCCGGGTGTCGGAAACACTTTTTAAGCGACAATCTATTTTATAAATTACATCTGATAAGAATATATTTTAATTTAGGAAGCAGGTGGATTGGCTAATGAGCACATAAATCCAGTGGAGTAATATTTTATGTCCAATACTTAATTTAGCAAATATGTTGAAACAAAAATTATGATAAAACTTATTCATTCTCTTTATAGTAAAAATATGGAATATTTTTTTAATGAAAAGAGGTGAATTTATTCATTCAAACGCAACACCCCCAGTAGTGTTAGAACCGGGTCATTCTTTGCCCACTGCGATCTAACAGCTGAAAAAAATAGTTATGATCATGTATTATTGGGTTTACAAAGTCAAGTGTAAACATGTTATGTTGAGAGTCTGGTTAGCTGGGACACTTTCGTCAACTAAAACAACTATCTTTGTCAGGAATGCTGTCAATGGATGCTGACAACCAATCAACTGCTGGGAGGCTTCGATGCAAACGGCCAGTCTGTTTTCGTTGAGATGGATGAGAGTTACTTTTTCCATAGAAAATATCATCATGGAAAGCGACGCATTGGTAAGTGAGTTGTCAGCTTGGTTTAGCACGGTAGTAGATGATGTTGGATGGAGGTTGTTGGCCATCAAGATGCACAAACACTCAAGGCATTATCACAAATCATGTTTTACCAGGGACAACTATCGTCTCAGACGCTTGGCTAGGATATCAAACTGTCGCTCAGCCCAACAACGGGATTTATGCTCACACTGTAATTTTGTCTATTGAAGGACTTTGGTGGATGCAAGTGAAACCTCAACTCGGCTATCAGAGTGGTACTAGTCTGTTTGCCAGCTACTTGGGGCCTTTCAGGCACAAGCAGAACGTTTTCGGCTGCTATTCGCAAATGCCATGCGCCATTTAAAACATTGGCTGTTGATCATTTGAGATGCCACGACGTATTTTTGGTAGAGTCACTTCCCTTTGTTTATTTTTAGAGAATTATTTTGTTATGTTTTAGTATTAGTACGCTGATGACCTGTTTTGTATTAAAATTTTAATTGGTTGATTAATTATAATTATAAATTATGATTGTTTGGCTAATTTGCATATTTTATTTGTAACGCCATATTGCCTACATTTTAGCCGGGCTTACCGGTTCTTGTGTTCTATTCATTATCTGGATATTATTTGTGCTATCTGAAATAAAGTGTGTATTTCATGAAACTGTAAGTTGGGTTATCATTATTTATTTATGTTATTATTATTTTTCGCCAATTTTTATTGATTTTTTTTCATTTTTTGAGTTTTCTTGCAACAGTGTGTTAATTCCATGTGTTTTACTTGTAGCTTTAGGGCTAGTTTTAGGGATCGATTTAGGGTTCGGGTTAGGCATAGGGATAGATTTAGTGATTTAGGGTTCGGGTTAGGCATAGGGATAGATTTAGTGATTTAGGGGTTCGGTTTAGGTATAGGGATAGATTTAGTGATTTAGGGTTCGGATTAGGCATAGATCTTCAAAAAAATGCTATTAAATTTATTTATTTCCTTTCATTTTTTTAAAAATTAAAACATTTTTCCGCCCTCGCCTTCCTTTTTAAAAACACGTGTTTTGCACTACTTTTCAGCCGCCATCTTGGTTGACACCTCACGTGACTACGTGAGGTGTCAACCAAGATGGCGGCGACCGATAAAATAGTGGTATTTTCCTTCACCATTTATCAAAACATTTAGTATTTACTGACTGGTTTTTAAAGTGACAGTTATTTGCAAAAGCTATGACTGACATTTCTGTTGTTTTCTTACAATACTAGGCACTCCAATACCGGACGTCGCGGGCAAAAAAAAAAGCGGGATTGGCCTGGTACATTTCTGTGACCAGCCGTGAATGGCGGGTTTCGGTATACGTCGGGCTTTGTTGTTAATATGCGTAATTTTCTAAAAATAAATAAGTTTGAGTCTTAAACTTTATTCGCTGAAGAATTCCGGTCATGATGGTATAAATTCTGTGCCATTCTGACCTATCTTAGGCGAACCGTTGGAGCGCGAACTGTCGCTAAGCTTAAACTCATGCCGATAGTTTTGTATAGCAAAAGAGAGAAATAAAAACTATGTATAGGTCTAGCCTGATCACTTTTACATCGAAAGCAGTTATTGTTAGCATCACTGGCCATGTCTAAAATTTATGATAGTGAACGATCCAAAAAAATTCCACATGTTATGAAAAAACGGCGGCCATCTTTTTTTACATAATTTTATTTACTGGAGGGAGGTGAAATTATTTGGAAATAAAGATTCAAATAAAACATTTCTAAATAATTGAAACATCTAATTAAACGAATGTTTTTGATTCTAATATGAATAAACAATATAAATGTATAAAAAAAATTAATAATTTGTTTTAAATTAAATGTTAGTACAATTATTCTTTGCAAATAAGAAATTGAACAATTTACCCATAGGAATTTCTCTTGGTTCTCAACAATAAATAATGTATTTTTTCTCTTTTATTATCAGATAAACCAAGACTACTAATTATAAGGGTGTATTAATAGACCTAAATTGTATTAATACTAGAATTAAATTAATGAAATAAATAAATTTTAATACCAGGGACATTTCTTTAATTTTGCGAATTTGCGTAATTTAATTGAAAACAATCTTCTTTTTTTTTCAGTCTACCTAGTTGTTATTCATCCCTGTTAATCTTCCACTCAGTCCACTTCTCTTTATTAACCTTTTTGAAGACTCAACCTCGCTTGTCATTATCTATGATGCTGAAAATTTCTTTGCAGTAGCTTGATTAGTTTAAAAGTTATCTTTCTTAGTCTTAGTGTAAGAATGTCTTGGCTGCGGTCACTTTTCATAAAATATTTTTTCTAACGTTGCATAAATTTTTCTGATTCTGATCTGCATTTTATTTATTTACCTTACTTTTAGATGGATATTATCTGTTTGTATTGAAAATTTTATAGCAATAGCTTTATTGGTTTAGTAATTATGTCATTTTTTGAAAAATTAAATTTTTCGACCATTGTTGTTATCCACGCCATATGCTCATAAAGTCATATTTAATAAAATATAATAAGTTAATTCACAATTCATGTATTTTATTCTGTTAAACATTGTATTGTAAATGTCTCCTCCAAATTTGAGAGCTCTAACTTCAATAGCCAAAAAGATACACGCAAAGTAGTACAAAAAGAGTATTTATGCGATCACAGTTTTAAAAATTAAATACAAAGCCGAATAGTGGGGAAAAATAAATCACTAAAAAATTCATAACTTTTCTCGTATAAGTGATAGAAAGATTATCTTGGTGTCATTGGAAAGCTTAGAGTAAGCTCTTTCCAATGATGTACTCTTTCTGTATGTCAGATGTATCTGAAAATTTGAGTTGGAGTACCTAACAATACACACTGTGGATTGCAATTTATTTCATATGAAATAATTTTGGACAGGACTTTGGAGGATTCCCATAGTGTTAATTAATAAATGATGTTGCTTTTTCCCTAGGCCTTGGGTCTGGGTAGTTTGTGTACCGAAGCTGACTGTGTACTGTTATTACTGTTGTAATGTAGCCGTAGCTATTTCACTATTTGTCTACTGTCAGTATACGCATCGTGTTGGGGAAGTTCACTGTCACTGACAGAGTAAAGGAATTGCAGCTTTTTGCATTACAAGTCGTCAAGTGAAAGTCCAACAGTGCCAACACTTACACTTAGCCTACATTCTTACTAACAACACTTAATGAAAGTTAATTGTACACTCAACTTCAACACACAAGACAAGTAAAAAAAAAAGTTAAAAAGAAACTTAACCGTGACCTCATTTTAAAAAAAAATTCTTACGGTAAATGAAGTTGAACCTTCCTTTACTTCTTCTGTGTCTGGTATTGAAAAGTGCATTTTCGTGAGAAAAAAATCATTAGTATAATGTAAAATTTCGATCTTCAATCACCATTAGAACACTCCCCTTCAGCCATTTCAGGTCACGTGATGTTGTTTTCCCTTTAAAATTATGATGATAAAAGTGTTTCATGACAGTCGAAATTTAATGGGAATATTATTATTTTCTTTTATTCTTGAATACCTTGACTAAGAAAACTTAGCCAACCCATGCCCTATTAAATGACGATAGAAATACATAATAACACTCACAAATAATTTAAATCATGAACTGTGTGAAAAGAAAATCAGATGTTTTGCTGCAAATAATCATAATTCATGATTGTTGTGATTCAATGACAATGTGGCTTTGATATGACAAACAACAAACAATATTGTCTGCTATCTAATTTAAAAGCGGCCTTTTGATGTCAGTAATTTTATCTCATTTTTTCATAAACTGTACAACTTTTATTAATCAATTTGATCCCCATTTAAATAATGATATGGGTTTTTTATACCCCACCCCTTTTCCACCTAACTCAAAAATGAATATGACCACACACATAAAAAGAGAATAAGTCTTGTTTTTTTACTTAAGCTTCAACATATATTGTTCTAAATATTTCTAAGTTTTAACTAGGCAGGCTCACTCCACAAAAGCTTTTATTAATAGCCGACTTAGTGTTAAAATAGGCATAAGATAAATACATGATAATTAAATTAATTAAATATAGAATGTGTCATTTATAAATTCATGGTGTTAAATATATTTTTATAGTACATAACATCCCTAACTCAAAAAAATAATTTATAAAATGAAAATACTAAATAATGTGATAATAATCATGCAATTTCAATTTGAATTTATGAAGTTTATTCTACTCAATAAATCATTTTCTACCCATATAGGCTCTACTTAAAAATATATAAATTAATAGCTGTCAAAAATTGTCTTTTTTTTTTGTTAAGTCCCAATTCAAATTCAAACATATTTATTAGACTAAAAAAAATATTTTGATGTCTTTAGGCTGGGATATAATAATATGGAATAATTTATTTTTCGCTCTTAAAAAATATTTTGTTGTCCCCCTTGACAAAGAGGAAGTCAAGACAAACTGTTGTTAGCTCTAATACTGTAGTAGCAGTAGTGGCTAGCAATATTTATTTATTTTTCATCATACAACTTAGAAAAATTAAAGTGTGCATATTTGATTAGCATTAAGATCTATTAAAAAAATCAACAATGTCGTTCAATTTTATGGTTGGTATGAGTGACTATTGTCTTGAGCCAACGCCTACGGGATTTTCGTACCATCATCCTACTATTCCGATTTCAACAACATCCAGTCCTATGCATACTCATTCAAGTTCAAGTCATGTTCATCAAACTCACGGTGGTCATGGTCATGTTCACAGCCACAACCACACTGACAATTTAACAAACATTCCTGGGCTAGCTCCGTCATCGCTAGGATCTTTAGGACAAGGAGGCTCTTTTAATGGTATATAGTATATATGCTTTTAGGCTTTTTTTAGAGTAAATTTACATAAACATAAATAAAAAATGAATTCAAAACTTTATAATTAATAGTAATACCGGTACTGAGTGATATTCATACCGATAATACTTAGTTGAGGTAGAAAAGGTAGGCCTGCTGATAGAGGTACCTAATAAATAATCAACATGTTGTTAGTGATAATAGTGACTGTCTTTAATTTTATCAATCAATGTCAATGAGAAATAAATAATTACAGTGTAACTGAGTATAAATACTCATATTTATATGACACACTTTTATAACCAAAAATCTATTGACTTGATTTCACTGTGATCTAAAGTCCATGGCCGGATATCAGAAGACCAGGCGTATATCATGTGCAAAACATGTGCTTGAGTATACAAGTATAATCGAGAGCAAGGGAGAAAACAAAATTTCCCCCTAAATTTTGATTTGACATGATGGTCTTCTGCAGTCGTACCACATAACTCATCAAATTAAAGCGCTTGATCTGGACTCTTCAAATGTACCATTTACTATCTGATTCACAAGGACTATCATTTTCACATGATTTTATGACTGAAGCAATTACTGGTAACTAAGTTTTACTCTAAACAAAGCAGCTCCACACTGTTAAAAGAAATACCAAGCCATTGCAACTAATCAAATAATATGCATACTGTTATTCAGTGTGGATTAGTCATTTATATGAAAAGTAGGAGAATCATTTTCTCCCTTGCTGTCACTTACACTTACACTCCAGCAGAGGGCAACAGTAGAAACAGTAGTTGTGTTTATTATATATATATATATATATATATATATATATATATATATATATATATATGTGTGTGTGTGTGTGTGTCTTTATGTTTTTGACGATTTTTTTTCTGTTTATATGTTTTTATGTGAAAATTTTTTGTTATATCTTTTTTATACTGTTTTTCAGTGTGGATTAGTCATTTATATGAAAAGTAGGAGAATCATTTTCTCTCTTGCTGTCACTTACACTTACACTCCAGCAGAGGGCAACAGTAGAAACAGTAGTTGTGTTTATTATATATATATATATATATATATATATATATATATATATATATGTGTGTGTGTGTGTGTGTCTTTAAGTTAATGACGATTTCTTTTCAGTTTACAAGTTGTTATGGGAAAATTTTTTGTTACATCTGTTTATGTTAAAAAATGAGCTAGTAACGCCAAAACTAAGGGTGCAACCTAACACAAGTATATTACAGCAATGAATATTTAAATAACAAAGCGATTAGATATTTCCATCAGTTTTGAATGAATTTAGTATAGAGCCTGGTTGGACTTAAGAGACGCAATCAGCACATCCAATCTCTAGTTACTTGGGCCTTTAATGAAAAAATATATAATTAAACTTTTTAACATTTTTTATATTTGTGGCAGAGCCATTTTTAAATAGAGTGCGGGAGAGTTTAGGTGCTTACTTCTAATCTTCAAGTGTTCTAAAAGAAAACATCAGTCCCAAACTTTTCAAATCATACTTGATTCTGGCTTAGGGACTTCTAAGACTTATAAAAGTGGAAGAAAATAAAAAAAAAATCCTGCAACTTCCAACTTGAGAGACTAAATCTATCAGCATGAATCTATAAGCTCTCAATTATTGTCAGTCAATGGCCCAAAGCTTGGTAGAATGGGACATTTGAGTATATATTTTGGTAAATGGTGACCATTGATGGTTATTCTGGTAAAAATAAAAGTTTGTAGTATCAATGCTCTTTGCTTAATAATTGTATTTACCTTCTTAGAATTTCTTCAATTAAATTATAAATAGGTTTATTATTTTGTTTATTAGGTTATATTGGGTAGTGGATGGTGCAGAACAATTATTTTAGCCAAATTTCTGCTTTTCAAATTTACAAAATTAGCCTTCATTTTTTTCTCACAATAATTAGCAAATTTTTGTAAAAAGTAATTTCTGGCTTCTTTCTTGAAATTTGCTTGCTTCATCTTGTTTTAATTGAATGCTATTAGTCTTTAAGATAACATTCTTTTATTGATCCAGACAAATGGAAATGTTTTATGATTGCATTGCACATTATAAGATAAGATAAGATTCTTTTATTGATCCAAACAAATGGAAATGTTTTATGATTGCATTGTACATAAATAAAACAATTTGAACACAAGACATTTATATTAATAAATTATTTCACTAGTAAAAAAAAAAACCTCCCAAAAACACAGCCATTCAGTGAGTTCTCTTAGCTACATCAGGGACTTATTAGTTATCATTAAGATTTGTGACTTTAGAGGGAGCACGCTGGTAAATTTGAACATACTTTATGTATAATAAACATTTGAATTGGTTTACAGTAACAGTTATTTGAAAAAAATGCTCTAATCAAAATGTTTGTAGTAACAATGTTTTATCCTGGAAGGGGCTGGTTGCTAGAAATGTTACATTAGGAGGTGAGTGGACATTTTATATAGCGCTAGAAGGGGTAAAAATGTTCAATTTTTGTGTTACATGATATGTGCGCAGCCAATTATCAGCAGCAACGCAAATTTTTTGTATATAGCAATGATTTATTTCAGACACCTCATTGTTTTGCCAGACATAAATAATTCTTGCCAATTATTTTGTTTTCATTTTTATGATCCTGAAATATTTTAATTCTGGCAAAAGTTACCTGGAATTATGCTTTATGAGTTTTTTTGTTTTTTTTTACCATGAATGATTCTCATTGAATGCACATTAGTAGGTTGTCATCTTTTATAAAAATTGTTTGCGTATCAGACCCATCGAAGCAAGCACTAACATAATGACATCATTGAATGCTATATGTTTTGAAGAAATCATCGGTTACTCAAAAAATATTGTTAAAAAAACAATGCCTGTAATATGTTCTGTCTTTTTAATCACAAAACAGACATCTCATTCTTGCAAGAGGTTAAGATTTTTTAATAAAATCGCTGAGAATTATGTTTGCCTGTGTTGGCTGTTTTAAATAGCAAATGGTTTAGTTTTTTAGAAATTTACTTGTCAAAATTCTATGTGCGTGCACAAATTCTGTGATAGTTAACAGCTTGATTATTGTCTAATCACTGAACCATTTTATCAACTCGATTATATTAAATTGCTGAGCTCACCATAAACTTTGAAGATTATCTCCTCGTTTAGCGCTATTGCTGTGGCACACCTGGCAGCATCTCGCGGCACACTAGTGTAAGGTTGTGGAGATCTGCATTAGATAGTTAGTCAGAGTTTTATAAAGATAATATAATCTAACATTTTATTCTAAATCCATTTTATTAAAAAAAAATTAAACCTTAAAGCTATTAAATAGAGAAACATTTTTGTAACATGAATAAATTTTATGTGTTTAATTTTATGTGTTTAAAATTTTCCTTAGGTTTCTCCTACCACACAGAACCTTTGATTCGCCAAGAACCAGAACCTATAGTAACTGGCCCAGTAAAAAAAAAATCAAAGAAAGAACGAAAACGAAGACCGGCCGGTACGACACTTTCTCGGGCAGAGCTGAAGAGGAGGCGTAATGCTGGTGAAGAATATGTGACTAGGAAAGGTAAACTGGTAGGCAGAAAAGAATATGAACCTATTGACTGCAAATGTAGGCTGAATTGTACAAAAAACGTCACTCACGATATGAGGAAGTTAATTTTCGATCAGTTTCATGCCCTTGCAGATTGGAATAATCAAACGCAATTCATTGTTTCGTCTGTGACAGTGCTCGATATTAAAGAAAGGAAGCGGAGGCTAAAGCAGGAGTTATCATCCCCTAAAACCAAACGATCCTCGTCTAGACTCTTCCATCTTACAAATAAAAAAATTCGTGTGTGCAAGCCAGTTTTTCTCTCTGCATTAGGAATCACAAACAAAAGGTTAGACTATGCACTTAGGTATAAAGCATTACCACTGACTGCTCTTGCAACACCGGATTTCAGGGGCAAAAAGGGACCACTCAATAAAACACCCCTGGAAGTAGAAGACCGCATCAGAGCACACATTAAATCTTTCCCCAAGTCCTCCAATTCACAAGGAAAACCGGGGAAAGGAGGGCAGACTCTCCCGCCAGACCTAACCATCTCAAAAATGTATTCACTTTATCAGGAACAGTGCCAAGCGGAAGGCATTCAAGCAGCATCTATGTGGGTTTATGCAAAAATCTTCCATTCTGAATCAAAGGTTCACCTAGCCGTACCTAAAAGAGAACCATGCAAAACTTGTGAGAGGACAAAAATAATTCTCCACAGCGGCAATGAGCCAGAGAAAATTATTCAAATGTTATTAAAAGAATACCAGGAACGCCCCGCGCAGTCTATAAATACATTCATGGAGTTTTCACATGCCGACTACACAGCTTATGCACAGAAAAAGAACTGACACACGATTGCCTAATGAAATAAAGGTCAATAAACTATCTCACTGCATTCAAGTTCAAGAATAACATTTGCATTTGTCAGATATTATTTATTGCACGTAAACTATACACTTGATTTATTTGATGGTGATTTAAATGCTCGAGTCGTTGGAGTCATTGAGTTTGTTGTTAATGTCTAGATTAATTAAAATCTTTGGGGAGATCTTATTATTAAAAGATTTTAAAAAATAAAATTTATCGTTTTAAGTACGTGTCCTTGGCTGAATTGAGTAATTCAATAGTTGTAATTGATATGTTCCTCAGCCAAATACATTTTTTTTTTTGGTAATGCGATTCCTACTGTACTGGGTGAGTATTTTGAGACTGATAAGAAAAGACTTTCCTCAATGTCTTTTGTTCTTAGCTTATTTTGATTTTAAAGTTTTCCTAAAGTGAGTGTAATTATGGGTTTTGATCAGAAATAGAAAGTTAATTCACTTTTAACAATTCTGGGATTTACAAAATCAAACTAAATATTTTTATTTTATTTCACAAAGTTTGGATGGCGTTAAAGTTTCAAATTTTGAAATTTTTTTTAGAAAAGATGATCCTTGAATAATATTTTTTTTTAGAAGTTCACAGAGATTAATATTTATAATTACTATAAACCTCCTCAGATAAAAATACAATAAACAAACCAATTTAAGAAGTAGACAAACCTTAAAAGTTCTATAGAAAGTAAAGGGACATTCATGGTAAAGGATAAGTACATAGAAATACTTAATCACAAGGATAGTTGCAATGTCCTCAACAATTCCAGCCATCAATTTAGAGTAATTTAGAACAAATTTTTTATCTGACCATAGGTAACTGTAAAAGGATCTTTATAAATAATAATTGAAATCTAATACCTTTTTAATGCATAAATTAAGAGATTTTGACATCTAGCTGGACTCTGTCATGTTAATTTAATGTGTAATACAATTATCATTTTTAGGATATTTTCTGCTGGTTCCAATTTCTCATTATTCGTCAGTGGTTTGTATTTTTTATGAGGTTTGAGATCTTCCTGTGTTCAAAATGCACACACTTTTGAAACTTCAAGTACTTAAATAATGAGCTACAAACTCTGACAAGAATAGAGTAATGTATAAGTAAGTGAAAATAAATAACAGTGGGACCTTACCACAATACAGTTGGTTTTCCTCATCAACTGCCATACAGTCATACAGCTTATTCCTGAATTGTTCTTCAAGATTACATTTTGAAATCTCAACTTAAGAATTATAATTCTTTTGTTATAAAGCACTGCCAGGCCTTGTTTGATATTTAATCTATGTTTTCCTTACCGGTAAGAAAAATAACGTGAAATATTTTGAGTTTTTGTTTTCAATAATTGAAAGTAAGAAAATAAACATTTTTTAGCAAATAAAAAAAAGAAAAGGTATGAGTATAGTATGAGTGATTCTATTTATGATTGAAATACAAATAATGTTGAGAGAATTTACCAGTAAGTAAGATATTGAATTTAATTATAATGTCTTTTCATTGAGGATTTACTTTTCTGTAAATATTGAGGATTTACTTTTCTGTAAATCTGACAATTCTGTTAAGTACGTTAATTTAAAAGTCAATAGGAATCTAGACCAAGGGCTCCGCAACCTATGGCACGTGTGCCAGACTTAGCATGCATAGCAATTTTCATTGGCATGTGGAAGACCGACATTTTTTTTTTTATGAATGACTAAAGAATGCTTGCTTTGGCATCCTTCTACCAAAAGTTTTCTAATTCCTAGTGTTAGAAATAGAGTTGAACAATAAAACTGAAAGGTACAGTGTATAAAATATTGCTTGAGCAATGGGTTATCTTTTTTGTATAAATAAGTAGTACTTATTATATGCATAATAACAATTGTTAGCTGAGATACCGGTACACAAGTTCTGCTGCCTTTGACGACATTGTACCAATGAAATGAAGAACTACTGATGTCTAGAAAAATAAAATGAATTACAAGAAGCTTAGTGCAAATAACTTTGGAAAATACAGAGTTATCTGCCTTATATTTTAAATGTAGTTATAACTAACACGGCTACATATCGTATAAATAAAAAAGAAATGAAGTATGAAACTTTTTTCATAATTAAACCACACCCACCCCACCCCCCTTGTTTCATAGTGTGGAACTTGATTTCATTACAGGTTAACTGTAACTGTTTACAGCGTAAGAAAAAAAAAAAATCAAAGGAAGGGAAGTAACAAGGTTTTTAACTCTTTTTATTTCCTTCTCTTAGTCTTTTTATATCCTTAGTTATCTTTCGACCAGGATAATTCTTTAACTTGTATAATACAACAGATATGTGTTTGGAATTGGGTGAAAATTAATGAACATTTTATGGATGGATTTTTGAAATTACAAAAAAAAAAACCCTTTGAATTAAATTTGTATAGTCACCAGTGACCAGATAGCCCAAATAGCATATTTATTTTAAAGTCTATTTTTGGGAGGTTGATTGTTGTGTGGGTGTTCACCTTTGGTAATGAGACTATGAATAAATTAATGAAAACCTCAGGAATGTATTGAAATGCATCTGTAAGTGAAGTTTGTGATGATGTAATGATTGTACAAATATGGCATAACAGTTATACGCACCTGTGTGTAACCCAAATGATTGCACTAAAAATAGATACGATTACATATTTCAGACATGGTTTCTCTTGTAATTAAACAAAAGGTGGGGCACATGTTTTGGTTAGTTTGTTGAGTTCTTGTTAGACACCTCCTGTCATGGAGCAGTTCAACAACCATTTTATGGCACATTAGTTATACGGTAACATACAACAAAACCTGGGAGCTGGACACTCGAGTTCACTGGCCGCAATGACCTTAAAAATCTTTTCTAGGTGGTATGTGAAACACAAAGGCTAAAATGTGTTTAAATCATTCTTGACAATGTTAGCAAAACTGGGTATTCTTTTGCTCACAAACAAGTTATATTAAATGATTGGTCCTTTTACTTTTAGATGACAGACAGTAGGGCAAAATCACTGGAGGAGCTAACTCGCAGTATCTCCTCTCTGTGAAAGGACGGCAGGTCCCCCGAGCTGTGGTTCCCAGGGGATCCATAAGAGCTTTGGACCAGGTCGTCCATGTCATTCCATATGTTAGATTTTCAGATGACAGAATTAACCTTTTTAATTTTAGATGACGAACATAATTAACCCTTTTACTTTAGATGACAGACATAATTAACCCTTCTACTTTTAGATGACAGGCATCATGTGTTCTCTTTGAAAATTTTAACTAACATCAAGATCCAGTTAAAACTGAGCAACATACATTTCTTAATATTGAGATCTTCCTTTGAGATTAAATCCCAACTCCTAGTTTTAAGATATTTGTAAAAGATTGGATACATGATTATGTGCTTTGTACATTGATAAAGGGAGGTTATTTTGGTTTTGTAATTTTTAAATTTTGAGTGATGTGTTTGAATGTGAATGTACAGTTTTATTAAATAACAATGTTGAATGTGAATGTTAGTTGAATAGATATATATATATATATACCAGTATTGAACGAATGTCAAAAGTGGAGTTAATACTTGAACTTGAGAATGTGGAAGATGAAGTTAATGATTTAATATAGATGTTGAAAGAATGTGGAATGTGTAGTTAATTTGATTAACTAAAAGAAATGAATGTGGAGTTTAATTTAAAGGTTTATTACGTAACCATCATACACTCTGTGTCCTATTTATTTTATTTGTCCAAACACTGTACAAATTTGACAAATAAACAGAATGTATTGCTGCAATTCATAAAAAACTTTAAAATATTCATGTCATAGCACATCACTTAATCACGTGGACAAAAATCTAGATTTAGGGAGTACAGCATGACATGAATCTAGATTGAGTGAGTACGTTTGGATATGAATCTAGACTAGGTGAGAGTACATTATAATATGAATCTAGACTGGGTGAGGGTACATTATAATATGAATCTGGAGTGGAGGAGTACATTATAATATGAATCTAGAGTGGGTGAATATATTATAATATGAATCTAGAGTGGGTGAATATATTATAATATGAATCTAGAGTGGGTGAATATATTATAATATGAATCTAGAGTGGGTGAATATATTATAATATGAATCTAGAGTGGGTGAGTACATTATAATATGAATCTAGACTAGGTGAGGGTACATTATAATATGAATCTGGAGTGGAGGAGTACATTATAATATGAATCTAGAGTGGGTGAATATATTATAATATGAATCTAGAGTGGGTGAGTACATTATAATATGAATCTAGACTGGGTGAGTATAATTACAATATGACATGCATTTCAAATTGGCGGGTACCGCCTTTTGGACACTTGGAGAGCATGCGGTGAGGATGAGATGGGTTTGTCATGGACGTAAGGTGGACACTTGGAGAGCATGCGGTGAGGATGAGATGGGTGTGTCACGGACGTAAGGTGGATTAATTACAATATGACATGCATTTCAAATTGGCGGGTACCGCCTTTTGGACAGAGGTGGGGGCAGCTTGTGGGGGGGGGGAGTGCTTAAACTTAAAGGTTTGAGAGGTTTGTTAGGATCTCTGGGTTATGTATTGAATACCCCGGTACATAAAAGAAATTAATTAAAGTTGAAGATTAATGTTTTTCAATCATTATTTAATTAAACCATTGATTGGTTTAAACTATTTCATTAATATACGGTAGCAATAGAGCTTTAAAACATCCTAATTCTGCATTGCCCCTGTTATTTCATTGCTGGTTTCCAAATAATTAAACTCTTTTTGTGCACAATTTGAGTCTTCTCATTTGATGACCAGCAATATATACAATATCACACTTGCCCGATTCTAGACAACATATTTACAATGGTAAATGTTCAGAGTCTTAAAGTACTTCACACTACCGAATAGTTACTAGGATTCTTGGCTTTTAAACAAGATTTGTTGAACACTGAACAAAATATGATGGGACTGGTTATGTAGAAACTGTACTGGACCAGTGAAATGAAATATGCCAGTCAGCATCTGATATAGTATATAGAGAGCAGCTTGTAGTCACAGAAAGTTGAGAATCCATGTAACAAATCTGCAGTGTAAATGTACGGTACCTTTAAAACTACCCCATCTAACACCGGGTACATTTGATGACCAACACTGTATACATCCTTTACTAATACTAGACAACATAGATCTACAAAGTCTTATGCCTACAACAGACCTATTTACCCTCAAACTCTTAAAATCGCACACTTAACACAAAATTGTTAAATACCTTATATTTATAGTAAAAAAAATAAACATACAGTCTATATAATGTTTACACCTCAAAATCGTATATAGTATGCCAAAATAGTAAGAGTAAACAGGTCTGCTACAAAATCAAATTTCAAATTATAACATTTAAGGAAACAATTATAATTTTCATGAAAAAATTTAGATATTGGTTCACAAGTTCATACACACATTTATTTAACATCTTGAAGGGGTTGGCACTTTATTCAGTTAAGTGAAACCATCCATCCAATAACTATCAACAATAAAAATAATGGTTCAAGTTGTTGCCACTGCTGGTGGTCAAATGTTTATGTTGTTGGCACCGCAGGTGGTCAAATGTTCATGTTGTTGGCACCACTGGTGGTCAAATGTTCAGGAAGGAAACACTATCTGTTGTCCAATGTTGAAATTTTGGAAGGCAAGGAGTCTTAACTTAATAAAAGATAAAGTATAAAGACTTACCTACTCAGGAGTGTCTCTGTTAGTGTTACAGAGAAAAGAAATCTTTGTGGTACCCAATCATGGATGTATCTCAGTTGTATCCAATCATTGATGTATCTAAGTTGTACCCAATCATTGATGTATCTCTGTTGTACCCAACATGGATGTATTATCTCAGTGTTACACAATCAGATGAATCTCAGCTGTACCAAATCATGGATGTAGTATCTCAGTGGTCCCCAATCATGGATGTATTTCATTTTTACCCCAATCATGGATTTAGTATCTCAGTTGTAGCCAGTCATGGATGTATATCAATTGTACCCCAATCATGGATGAAGTATCTCAGTGGTAGGCAATTATGGATGCATCATCTTACTCACACTTAGTGGTACACCATCATGAATGCATCTCAGTCTCAGTTGTATGGTAACAAATCATGGTTGTAGTACCTCAGTTGTACCCAATCATGGATGAAGTATCTCAGTTTTACACAATCATAGATGAATCTTAGGTGTACCCAATTATGGATGTAGTATCTCAGTTGTACCCAATTGTGGATGCATCTCATTTCTGATGACCAAAATTACACTTGAGAATAATATCAAAAGTATTTTACTATCTATATTTTTTAAGTTTCCAATCTATTATGGCATATTTTTGTCTTTATTTCTCACTCTTTCAAACTGAGTATCATTTGGGAGCAATAAAAAAAACTTGCTAAATCTCGTAAAATAAAACTAACTAAAAACTGGAAATACATTCACTTAATAGATATTCAGTACCTGGGTCAATGAACCATGAAATCAAGAGACATTGTTTCCTATCAGATCACATCTTGGAGGAAATCATCCAATGTGTTGATAGAAACAAGGAAATCATCCAGTGTGTTGATAGAAACAA